CTTGAAAATTATAAAATGAATAGCTGAAAGAAATGTATTAACAAATCAGGAATTATTTCATAATTTAATAATTATTTTATTGGCTCCTGGTATCTAAGGACATATTGTAATTAACAAGATGTAACAAAAACGATCGTTTTGTAAAGGAGTCCATTCCAGTATTGACCCTCGATAAATAAAGACGTGTTCTTCAAATTAAAGTTGTCTCCTTTAAAAGACGTCTAAAATTTCCTAACGAGCAGAGTTCTTCAGGGCTCCACGGGCGAGGATTCACGCCTGATTTATCTCTTTTAAAAGAAATCCCTGGAAAAGGCCGCAACAGGCCCAAGTGGCAACAGTGCGGCCAACCGATGCTCGGACGCGAGATGCCCTAGGGATATCAACCCGAGGCACTCTCGGCGTCGACGCAGGGTCCGTCGTGTGGTGTCGGAGAATACAACAAGTCGCAACGCCAACCACGTGTATTCATTTCTCCCTAGTCCCTTCGCATCCACGCTACAGGTATAATGAAACGTTAAAAAGTTAAAGTTGTCCGGCTAACTTCACAGAGGTTTATTTCAGTACCTGGAATAAATTTACCAAGTGATAGGAGATTTTTCTTCTATACCGGTTTTTCCCCTAGTGGAAGCCGAGTTTGCTCGCGAGGGTACATTTCACAGGTTTTTCTTGGTCAATTTGCAGCGCTATAGGTGACAAGGACCAGTGCTAAAACGAGTGCTGGAAATCCGGGACACCTTTGAATTTCGGAACGATTTATAATAGACAAAACAATGAATGACTGGCGGCTACTGTATGAGATCGTGTATGATAAATTTGATATTAAGTGTTCGCAATTTTAAATATGTTTATTAAATTTATTACATAATACACATATAATATGTAATAAATTTAATAAATATTGGTAAATATCCCTGCAACACCATGTATTTTATCCGCCGACTACATAGCACTACATGAAAGTATACGTTATGTGTCGAAAAATGCGACATTAACGCCATTGGTGACGAGGGCCAGTAGCTTATGACTGACCATACTATTCTAATGGGAGTTAACAGGCCCTGGTAAAGTGTGTGTTTGTGAACGACATTTTCAGAGAGCATAGAGTTTCATTGAACTTTCTTACGTTTTATATCATACTCGACGTATTTATACATATTTTCTCAACTCACGATCGAGGTTTGATTTCTGTATTAATTCTATAAGTATAAAGTAAACCTTTGGTGATTTCTGCTTATTTCCAGTAAACCGGAATTCAGAATGATGTCGAAGTTTTTGCTACTCTTTTGCTTTACAACGCTTCACGTTTTGGGTATGATTTTTTAAACATTTAGAATTCTTATCTTTATTACAGATGACAGTTGAGATTCTGATGCAATATAATACGAAACAATAATTTTTATTCATGTTTCACTGGAAAATGCATAATAATGTTTATTTTTGGCAAAAATTGATTTTATACATTTTATCTTTTTTCGATTATTTATGGTCTCCTTATGTTTTGTGTGCATTATTTTATAACTATATTTCTTGTGTTGTGTGATTTATTGATTTATATTAAAATTTGTTGAGCCATATGTATTACTTTAATACGTCCTATTTTAATTTTATATAATATTAAGGAATGAAGGTTAAAGATGTTGTAGTCAGTTGATGTGTAATAAAAGAGACCTTGTAAGATTTATTTTACTTAAAATAACAAACTACTCAGCTTCTTTCTTAGGTTTCTTAAATACTTAATTGTTTGTGGGTATTATCTGTAAACAAATCTCTTGCATACAGATTCTTCTAGATGTAATAAATACAATATTAATGTTTGTAGCATATTTTGTTGAACAAAGAAACTGTCAGGTTGAGTCATAATTGGCTTCAATTTACCTGGTTTAAATATGTTAATTTAAGATACTTTTCAATTAACATCAATTTGTTTCACATCGTCAATCTCTAATAAAGCATAATAATTGTTATAGAATTTCAAGATTCTTGTCATTATATTTATTTAATAATAATTCAATAACTTTTTAGTATCTATAATGATAGTTATTTATGACACAGCCCAATACTTTTTCTGTTTCTTCCTTAATGATAGGTACTACAACAAAATGAAAGTTTTTATGGTTAGTATCTGATGAAAACCAGAAGTTTTTTTTTCAATATTTACTGTTTATAGTCGTATCTGAATCCTTTATCAATGAAACACAAAGGTATTTTAATATAGGAACAATGTTTATTTAATTTATTTCAGAACACTATTAATAAATAAAATAATGTTACAAGAGTCTGCATATAGATATTTTACAGATGTAGAAGTAACATTATTCCATCCTCTTTAATACTGTGGTTATAATATCCACAATGACATACATCTTATCTCTAGCATACCTAATTGTATTTCTACTTTCATATTATCTTTAATTTACATATTGCATATACTATGTAGTTTTATCACCCATCATACAAATACACAATATTCGTAATATTATCCATGCATTCCTCGCCCTAGTGTACTTATACCTCAATATTTATTCTGACATATTTATTTAATCTTTATCTATAGTTCTTCTTTAAATTTTTTTTATCTTTATCTTATGTAAGCATTAACCTTATCTGAATATGCCTTACCCATACTTTGATCCTTATGTCTTTCCCCTCATCATTCTTTCTTCTTATTCTTTTTCCTGTTTTGTTATTTTCTTCTCTTTTATAATTTCAGCATTTTATTTTCTTTCATCCTGTGTTTTAAGTAATACCTTCCATGTTCTTATTTTTCTTCTCTCACTTCTCTGTTCCTATGTAGTAAATGTTTTCATGCTTATAGTTTCTCTCTGCAAACTTTATACTTTCTTTTCTCTCCTTTCCTTTAATGCTTGTATTTTACCATTACCATTCTAATTGTGAATCTTGTCATCCTTAGTAGCTTTACTTCTCTGTTCTTCTTCATTGAATATCTTAGTAGCTCCAGTATTACAATTTTTTATGACATTTGTTTATCTGTCTGATTCTTTTACTTTGCCTCTCTTTCACGTTTCTACATTTTCTTGTCCATGCTTTCTAGTTTCATCTCTTTTCTCCATTTCTTTTCTCAGCTCACCCCTATTACTCTGTCTATCTCAAAACGGTTTTAAGTAACTACTTCAAAAATTTCCTTATATGCAAGTGAGTTTTTCTTCCTCTGTCTTTGTTCCTACTATCTTCATCTTAATCAAATGTTCCAGTATATTTCCTATAGTAAAGTTTGATATCAAATGGTTCATTTAACCTTCATTTTGCTTCCTTGTATATAATTAATTGTGTTTTCACACAATTTTCATTTAATATGGTCCAGAACAAAATTAAATTCTCTGTTGGCATAATTTGTATTCATCTGACATAGCTCGAGAAAGTTTTAATAATCTTCACATAATTGTAATTTTAAGGAAAAGTATTCCTACATATTTTTTGAGGAAATTGCTGTCAATTAAAACAACTCCTAATAGGTTGATCGTATTATTATTATTGGTTTTTATGATCTGTAAGTAATCCTCAATTTTTTGATGGATTTTTTGAAAATTTGTCTACAGTATAAAAATAGAACTAAGTGTATCTCTATTACTCACTAATTTTTTACCCACCTCATTCTTTCAGCATCCTCCAGATTGACCCTCCAAAATTTTTACCAATTTGTCTTTCTCCTCTGACCCTTCTGTCCTGCTTTTTTACGAAATTCAACTTAATTGATTATGCATGTTGCCCATTATTCTTATTTCTACCTTCAAAAATGTTTAATTGTGCAAACATGTATTTTTTTTGTTTTTATAAAACAATATAAATGTACAAAATTTAATTTTATAAATATGTCACTAGTCAAATTGATTTTCAAAGTCCTTTGTAATATACTCATAATTGCAGAATATTTTGAAATTATAAGTAAATATTTTGAAATTATAAGTAAATATTTTGAATATTTTTTATGAAATATTCTGCACTCTTTGATTAGAAGATGTATAAATAGTGAAATAAATACAAAATACAGCAATTTTTTTGCAAACAGTCAAATATTCAAATCAAACAATCAAATATTACATAGTTATGCTACTAAGTGCTTAATTTAAGCTTTTGAAGCAGATTTGGATTGATGTAATTAGAATCAACTGAGAAATGTGTTCGCTGTTGTTCTTATTAGTATTTCATACTAGAATTTGTTCATATTTTAAGACAATCTACTACCTACAGTACAACAAAAAAATGTCAAATTTCAGTGAATAATATAATTGAATAAGTACCTGAAAACTGCTTCTTAACTAAATTAGACTTGTGATTATCCTTTGTTAATTCCATAAGAGAAACCACTTTTCGTTTACTTTCAACCCTTATTAGTAGACTGCGGATGTTATTTTGACTTTGACAGAACCCTTAAACAGAGTGAACAAATGTCTGTTTGACTCCCATATCTGCAAATTAGCCTACAAAAATCTATATTTGCATAAATATCCAGAGTCTACTTATTAATATCAGGATAGTACCAACTAAAAATGTGACTTTTAGTTTAAATTCCACTTTTCCTGCCTACTGTGTAACTATTATCAAGAAAATCAAACATGTTAAAACATGCAAAATGTTACAAGTCATTCCTGAAAAAGAAAAGATTAGCAGCAATATTGCATTAGGACACTTAACTGTCATGCCAGGCATATTGAGAATTTTTAACATACTTAACACATTGGTTGTCATGGCAGTCATTGGTGTTGAGCATATTTGAATTGTGTGAAAAAATATTGTATTTCTAAACAGTCACATTTCCAATCTTATAAGGATACTTATTGTTAATAATAGAGTAATGATCAAAGTAATAAACAGATGTATTTTATCATAATACTCCCCCAATAGTAAAGGAGTGGGGGATCAGTGTGATAAGAATTTCAGTTGCATGGCTTTAATTTGTTAATAGTGGCAATAATTATAGAGATATTATAAATTTATGTACTGATTTAATGATTTCAGAAAACAGACATAAAAGAAAAATTTTATTTTTAATTTTTGTATCAAAATTAGTTTCGTGATAAGTTTCTCTAAGCATGTGTCCACAATTTCAAAAGCATAATTTAATCCATGACAGCCATGAATGATATTTCTTTGTATTCTGCAAATTTAATGTGATTTAACTTTTCTAACTTTGTTATTGAAAGAAATATTAACAGAATAATTTGGTATTATATGTTCTTTTTACAATAGGTCAGAAACAAGGTGTGTCCCCCATAAAGAATGACCATCTTCCAGTTACTGTCATATCTGAACAGAGTGGTACTGCACAAAATTCTGATGCGAAAGTTTTACCAAACAGTATAGTAAAATCTGAGGATCCTGTTCTATTAGGGAATATTGAGAACGAAGAAAAATTAGATGAAAATGCAACTACTACACAAAATACTAGTAGTAATGCATCACATACCATGGTTGTACCACCAAATTCTACAACTGTACCACTGGTACATCCAGTGACTATGACCACTACAGTTAAGCCAGTAGATTCAACTACAGTAGATACCACTACAGTTAAGCCTGTGGATACCACTACAGATAATACTGTAGTTACTACTCCATCATTACCTCCTGCATCTCCTGCTAAATGGATAGTCAATGGAACAGATAAGATCTGCATTGTGGTACAGATGTCTGCAGAGTTCAACGTTACATATGAAAAGGCCAACCATACGGTTTGTATCAGAAATGAACAATCTGCCACTATGTACTAAACTACAATTGAAAAATTTGTAACAAAACTTACTCTTATAAAAAAGATCTAATTTTCTAAACAAGCGAAACTTTTATGTTCTTTAGAGTTTAACAAATCTGTTTCATCTTTTTTGAAAATACAATTAGAATTTTTTCACTACAATGAAATCAAAAGAATGCTGAGTCGAGAATGAAGGGACTTAGAAGCTATATGAACAGGCGCATATCACTGTATTGTAGTCACATGTTTATCATAGTTTTATCTTTTATTTATAATTTATTCATATATAACATAAAATTTTACTTATAAAATATATTTTTCAATTTATTTATTATTAGTAAATCAGATAGACGAAGTATAGAAAGCATATGGAATGTGGGAAATAGGTTAACCACTTGAGTACTAATTTAATTTAAAAAAATGTTTTGGAAATATTTGTTTTAATTTCTTTCTTTATTTCCTAATACATCATTGTTACAAAGAAGCAAACATATAGTTCATTTTTCTGACGATAAAATGAGCTCTCCATAAAACATGGTAAATAATTTCAAATAGTTAATAATACTAAGGATTGGAAGAGAAAAAAACAAACAGTTTCAGAAATAATAATGAATAACATTAATAATACATTCACAGTTCATGCTATGACTGTTTAGTATCATCTTACTGAAACTTATTTCTTATATTCTCTACAATTTTTGAGTTTGTGATTCACAAATTTTCAACTGGTATTAAAAAGTAAATTTAAATTCACCAAATAGTGATTCAAACTGAATTATAAACCACACTTGTCATTGTGCATTTTAGTATAATAAATATGTGATGAGTCAGATATGTCAAAGTACCCAAGTGGTTAATTGAGATATTATGTCTCATAAATAGACTGTATTTTATACGTTTATGGCGCAAAGGAGTATATAAAATGCAAAAAAAAAGATGAAACTTTCATTAAGTTTAATATATTTATTCTTTTATTCCGAACCTGATAAACTTCTAAAGAGAAAAAAAGTTTCGTTTTTAATTCTATCTTTAAAAATTACTTTATAAAATGTTATTTTGCATAAAGATCCGCAGTCTCGTTATAAGTAACACTCGTTATACATGATAGTTAATATTACAGTACTTTAAAAAAAAGTAAGAGTAATATTAATGAATATATTTTTTCAGACTTCTTATAAAGTATTTGATATGCCAGTAGACAATGCAACTACAAAAGCAACTGGAAACTGTGGCCAATTTGAACAAGTGCTCACATTGACGTGGTCTTCTAACAATGATACTAATGGCAATATGTCACTACACTTTGTGAGAAATGAAACTGCAAAAGATTATTTTATTCACCATTTAGAGGTTGTTCTTCCACGAACAGATTTTCCAAATACAACATTGAGTAAGAATTTACATTATATATATTTTATGTTTTCTAATAATTTGTTTTGTTGGACAAAACATTTGTTCACATGTTTTGATTACTAAAATATGAACCGTCTCTATTGGTGTCTATAAAACAAGATATTCTTATATCATCCTTGATATCATGCACAAAACAGCCTTCATAATTTCCATTGTACATATTATAGCTGACTGTTGTTCGGACAGTATAATTAAGAAAAACAATGTACATAAGTGAACTCTTCCCATAATATTGTGTTTAATAATACTTTTATTTGTGTAATGAGTATAGCAGATGTTGAATAATTTATTTTATAAATTTTTACGTTACGAATATTAGATCAAAGTTTTGTACAAATTAGAACAGTTTTTGATATATGGCCCACTATATTGAGTCATTGTGAATTTTTTAAATCTAAGTTCAAATTCGTTGTTAGCAATCGGCAAAACCCTCGGGAACAATTTTTTTAATTATCGGACTGATATAAAAGTCGGTGCATCAAACCGTATGGACTGACACGTTAATAAATGTCGACTTCTTTGATTCCCCATATTTCAGGAACTAATTGTCGGCTGAATTTAAAAATGAAAAGTATCATTTGGCACGAAATTCAGTTCCAAAATCGTGCGACTAAAAACGAGCGATTTTTCAGATCACTTTTTCACTGGTAGACATCATTGCATGAAATTGTTAAAGTTAACTACTGGGTATTACGAAGTACATACATTACTTCTTTCTCTGTGTGGTAGGTTTCCTACTTTTATACAATTTTGCGGACGTTTGATTTGTTGGTGAGTCTTTTCTGTTATGTCAACATAGTGATATGGAGATAGTGAGATAATTATAATCGGAGGAAATGGAAATGCTATGATATTCTGGGTATTGCGATATTATTATAAAAACGGATCGACAAAGCGTGCTTATCGATTGTTCTTTCTTTAACATCTTCTTTTGTTGGTGAAAGTTCTGTAGTTAGAAGATTTTCAAATGTCTATTTAGTCCATTTTGTGTACTTAATATTGAATGCCAGCAAATTATTTTTTACATTCATTGCACTAATAAATAGTAGACTGTTAAACAAAATACTATGCAAACTCACTTATGCACATTTTTATTCCTTAAGTATACTACATACAGACAGATCAGAATTTTATCAGGAACCTTGGATTTTGTCCAAAGAACCATGCTAACTCCTAAAGAGTACATTGAATCTCACAAGTTGCACCTACAAATTGTGGCCCAAATTCCTTAATTATCTTCTTCTGAGATGTAGGGGAGGACATATTAAACAACCTCAGATAATAGCAATGAGCAACTTTTCAGTGTTTTTAAGAAATAAATTGCTAAAAATATGAAATCTTTTTTGATGCGTCTTGAGCATACAAATTAAATTCTTGTTATTGAAGAAACACAGAGCAGACAGTAAGGCCACGTACGCACTGACGACTGCTACATACAGAAGAATAATTAGAGGTTATGTATGGAGTCGCCGACGACTAGGAAACCACCAGCGAAGCAGGTGACTCTCTAGTCGTGGCGACTAGTAAGGTGCAATGATTCAAATGCACGCTTACGCACAACGAGCAACTTTCTGGGTGACTCAGGAAAAAGAATAATTGAAATGACAGAAATATCCATTCTGCTCGATGGTCAGTGCATTACCGACAATTTTTTAATTACCCAGCTAGTCTCCTCGTACAGTCACCTGGGTCGAAGTTGCTCAACATTCAGTCGACAGTGCGCAATAGGCCTAAGGCTAGATTGCAGTATTAGACGTTTTCTTTGTCCGGGTTTAATGCCCACATCTAAACAACTACCACATCGCTTCTTTGAAAGTGTATGCAAAATTAAGACATAGATTGCATTATAACCTGATATCAATTTTAAACGTTAAACTGTTCGAAGGAATGTTTAGTACTGTTTCCGCTTATTTTTTATACAGATGGACTTACATTGAAGCTCGTAAAAATCGCTAACTAGTTAGTAACTAGTATAGCTCTCCTTATTTGTGAACATAAATTTAGGCAATGGAAACACATGTATGATAGGTTTCAGGTCTCTTTCTCGGTGTTGAATTTGTCCACAATTAACAAACTTTTTAATAATTTAAAATATTGCCTTCTTATAAATATATTAAATTGCTGTTCATAATAATTCTGTACATACAGCAATCTTCACGAAAGAAAAATATGTACTTTGTAACTGCTCTACTGCACTTTTACAGAGAGAAACGTAATTGCAAAAGATAAACTGAGTTCGATTGACACGAATGAGAATATGAATGAGTGAAGGATTGATTTGTTTAAATGCAAAATGTGCAACCAGATATTCAAACTAGTATATGGCAAATATAACTTTTGTAATTAAACATCTGTTTTAATAAGAATGTGTTTCATATATTGAAGAAATATTTCTGATGAAAATGAGTTTACACATATTATCAATTTTTATTTTTTTTTTATTTAGAATGTGTATAATACAGGTTCTTAAAACCGGTATTATGCACAGGGACTTAAAACCGGTATGACTTTGATACCGGTATTATACCAGTAAAGGTATACTGAAACCGATATATTACCGAAAACCGAAATATATACCGGTATAGTACCGGTATTTTATGTTTCGGTAGAAGTCCCTGTAAAATACTGGTATTATACCGGTATATATTTCGATTTTCCGTAATATCGGTTTCAGTATATCTTTGGTATTATATCGATATTTTTCGGTTGTACCTTCAAAACCCTAATAGAAATCGAAATACGAAAATATCGATATGATATTATACCGCTGTATAAAAATACCGGTATATTTATTGATATTTACTCATAATTTTTTCAGTTCATTACATTTTTGAAGATACATTTCATTATATATTTACGACGTAAAACTTAAAAGAACAATCTCGAAGAATGTATGTGCATGAAAGAATTAAAGAACGTACAATATTGGCAACTTCTAACGATGCCTGTGTATGTGCATATTGGTCCTTATTTGTCTCGCCATAGCATTCTTTTAATTCAGTGAGACATTTTAACATATTAGACATGAAATGCCATTATGTAGGACAGTTTTAAATTGGCTTTTTGTATCGCCTTTAATAACCTGTTCATTTCTTTGTTTGATTGCATTTGATTTTTTAAAAATTGTGTACATCATATGAACATCAATATGGAAATACATAATCTTCGATGTTTTTCACCTTTTTCCTGAAATAGTCCTAATTAGTCATTTCACTTGTCATAGACTCCTTCGTCGTCTGATTTTCTGTCATCATCTTTAGCACCTTTAGCAATTGAATCTGAATGAGTAAAATTTATCGATGTAAAAGATTTGATACAAGATTTTGCAAAATTAAAGTCAAGAAAAAACATATCAAGTGAAAGTTTATTTTAAAATACCTTTTTGATGTTTGTCTTTTAATAATATTTATTTGTGAATCATTATTCTTCGTTATGATTAAATGTTTCTTAATTTTATTTAGAATAATTTTAATTTTGAAGATTTATATATTTTATTGCATGCTTTATTACAAAATCTCCTCCCCCACCGCTTTTTAACGAGCATTCTTTTGTTTGGTCTAAACGCATTATAAGGCGGTACCGATACATGTCGCGACACTTGGCGTTTGGGATTGATGCGTCGTTCCGATGATTGTAACTTTTGTAGCATTGTAAGGTAATTGTCCCAGTTGTCGATCAAGACCCAGTTCTCGATCATTTTTATAAATGAATAGCATTTTAGTTTCAGAATTATTGTTTAACCGGTTTGTGAGCTTTCTTTATAACTCCTTTTCTCTTAATCGACTACTAGGACAATTACTGATCGACAACAAGTTCTGACCGTAAATTAGTGATCGACGTCTGGGTTATCAACATTTTTATTCTCAGTTGTATCTTCCACATTTAAATATACATAGAATCTAATTTTTTATTTTGCTATTATTTATATTAGTGTTAAAATTAACTGTTAAAATCAAAAAGATTTATTTTTCATTTTTTCATTAAAAAAGTGTCGACTTCTTACTAACTGATCGAAAATTGGGACAAGTACATTATTTTTTTACATTCGCGATCATACTATACATAGTACCAGAAAAATGCTGGTAATTATATTGGTTTCTCGGTACTACAGTGATTGCAGTACTACATCGGTTTCGATCTAATTTCGCTAACATTATATCGGCTTTAAATAACTGCTTATAAATCTTTTAAACATTGTAATATAATACGAAAACTGAAAAAATTAACGGTAAATTTAGGTAAATATACCGGTATTTTCGTATGTCGGTTTCTATAAGGGTTACGAAGGTACAACCGAAAAATACCGGTATAATACCGGTATTTCAAGTTTCGGTAGAAGTCCCTGGTTTAATATATTGTTGAAGTTTTCTTCATGTTAGTGAGTTTGCAATAGTTTCAGTTATTTCAGTTAAAATTGTGTAGTAATGTTTTCACCCTTTGCATACAAATTATAGACATAATACATATAGGTTGTAAATATAATGCGATAAGCATTGAATATGCGCAATATAAAACACTTAATGTAAAAATGTAAAAAAACGCAGAGAAAAGAGTTATTTTCATTTATACAGGTGTCCTACAAATATGGAATATCCTAGAACTTGCATAATAGAATGATACGACATAGTAAATAATACTATATAATATAGTTTCAGAAGATATTTTATAATTTCGAATGTACGAATAAAATATTTTTATGTAAAAAGGATGCGACTGGTCCTTTTCCAAAGAACTGTATTATTTCTTTAAAAGTTGCGAAGTCTGTATAGCAATAAGATACATTCCTGAAATTATGAATGAAACTATGTTTGAACACACGTTTATCAGAAAATCTAGTAAGATTATGCAAAATAATCTTATTAACGTTAAATAAAAATGATTGAAATTTTAGTTTTCATATACTGGTTTGAAAACTTTGTTACATGTGTCTGATTGATGCGGTACTGTATGGAGAAGCGGAGAATAAAAATCGTCTTTTTTTCTCTCATGGAGATTATTGTAATTTGCTAACATTATTATATATACTCTTTTATTTAATGTATAATTGTATGGTTTTTTCTAGATGAAAGTATGATTCTGACACACAAAGCATCGAATTATGTAGCTGGATTAACCAATTCCTACAGATGTATGATGAAGCAAAAGCTGAACTTGAAGCAGAATGGTACCAACGAAACGACTGGTTATATAATTTTGTCAACGTTACAATTTCAAGCGTTCAAAACAGATAATTCCACTACTTTTGGTTTAGGTAGGTTTTAAATAATTAACGCACACACATATGACCATTAATTTAAAAAAGCACATAGTTTCTTTAAAAAGGAAAAAAATCAATAATTTTTATATAAACTCTTTTGAAATGTATTATTTAAACAAATTCTTTTGGAAGCTAATAATATAGCTGGATTCCTTATAAAGGAACATAGTATTACCATTTAAACCGTGTTCCTATCTCTAATAGTACTTTCCGAGATATTCGACCAAATACATTTCACACGTCTAACTTTGAGGACTGTTTTCACCCTTCTGACATGGATAATAAAAGCCAAAAAAAATACGTATGAAATATTTTCATGAGAATTACTTTTTCACAAAATTGCATCCAAATCGGTGATTTCTAGTTTCGTATGTTTCCCTGTAAGTGTGATGTAGACTTACATATGTCATAATATATATATATATATATATTGGAAACGAATGGCAATATTGTGGGTAGTTATATTAATGGTAAATATTTACGAAAAGGGACCCAGCTCCAATGACCTTGATTTTGACATATATTATCAAGGTCAACAGTCTGAACAACTTTTCCCTATACATGTACCCGTCGCTCGGGCTTAGTTTGTTTAGATATTCGCAAAAAACTCTTGTGAAACTTAGGTTACTACATAATAAATTTCATGAATTTATAATATTCGATTTTCATGAATTAGATTGTCAAGAAAGAGTATTCGGAGTTGGTTGGTGATAGGTACTTCTGGCGGGGAGGGGCGGCTCCTCCCCCAAAACAATAGACGAATTTTGTGAACCTTTGTGATATTTAGGTTACGAGCAGATTTCATTCAGGAAATTTTAATATCGGATGTTTAAAAAGATAATTATTTACAAAAGGGGATCTAGCTCTGATGACCTTGACCTTCAAATATCTAATCAACATTATGAAGACCATATACCACCCAGTGTTAACCACAAACCCAACGTGTATCAATAACTAAACTTGTGGGATGTTGGGAGCGCGGTTAACACTGGGTGGTGTGTCTTTAACCAACTCTGATCGATACATACTACCAGTCAAATCTAAGTTTAACAAAAGTTTTCTGCGAATATTTCGGAAATTAAGCCCGAGCGACAGGTGCATGTATAGGGAAAAGTTGTTCAGAATGTTGACCCTGATAACATATGTCAAGGTGAAGGTCATCGAAGTTGGGTTCCTTTTTGTAAATAATTACCATATTAATTGTTTATTCTATATACTTCTTTTTTTTTCATATTGATCAATTTCTCGAACTTACGTTTCAGCCAAGGATTGTGCTTTCAAGACGTCTGATGTCGTACCGATAGCAGTAGGCTGTGCACTCGCAGGATTAGTGATTGCAGTTTTAATTACGTACTTAATTGGTCGTCGAAGAAACCAATCTCGCGGCTATCTTAGCATGTAATTTTTCTATGATTTTTCATTTCCCCTTCACTAATTATGTCAATAATCTATGGTTACGTACTGCATGTTAATCTCAAACAGATTATTGCTTTTTTTTTAAACCTTAGAAGTTTATATTTGACAAATAGCTATGATTACTTTCATTTTCTAAATCAAAGGTCGATAAATCAGCATACAGCGTTATCTGTGTTCGTAGAAATTGATCTTCCTTTAATTAATTACGTGTACAGGGAATTTTGTAATACTAATACATTACTTTCGTGATACTCTTTTTCTATATTCAACAAAAGTATTATTGGTCAATATGCCATGCTGATTTCAGATTGTGATTAATATTACAGAATAAGTTTTCATTATATAATGTAACTATCTTGCTCGCAAAACGTGATAAAAACTATTTTTAAAAAATAAAAATTGTAATTCGAAACTATGAAAAGCGAGCTTATTATAATAACAACAGTGAAATATACGTAATTTATAATTGCTGTCCAATTCTTAAATTATTATTTGCGTTTTTCGGTAGTAGAATCAGTTTGAAAATTCGATGAAAACTAATACAATGTATAACGAAAAAAGTATATACTTTTTACTGTGATAATACTTTAATGAGAATTAAATCGGTTCAGAAGAGTATCATATTGTTAACACGCAAAAAAATTTGTTTGTAAGGACGCATCTTTTCCTATAAAATTGCATTGTTTATTCGTAAAAATATCTGTAATATATTTTACATCTCTTTATTAGTAGTTATAACACTGATAATTCTAGCGGAAAAGAATATTAGGCTATATAATAATGTCGGGTCTTTCAGTATAAGCCTGTCTTTACGAACGAAGAGCTTGGTTGCTAATAAATTACAATATATTTAAAAAATAGATAATGTTAATTATTGTACCGAATACTTCTATTTAATGTAATTTCTCGGTTTTCTTATAACTTAATATTGACATTTATGCGTTACATCTTCCAAAAACAACGTTAGCATGTTTATATACAGAATTACAAATATATCAGCCCATGAATTTTTAAATAATGGTAGAGACTTCGTGGCCTCAGGATACGTGTATATAATGAAGGCAGTTTACAAAATCTGTGATTTTAGCATTCTTTACGTTATGCGAATGGTGAATTCGCAAGTTACATTTAACCGAATTCGAGTTCAGCTAGTTATTCTTCTATAGTGTTCTATAGTATGTCTGTCGAAATGGCGTACCGAAGTTTCGGGAAAAGGAAGCCGCCTAACCTATCCACTTCTAAGAATAAGTTCAGAAACGATAAGACATGCACGTGATGCAGCGATACGAAGATTGCAACTTTGTATTGACGCAAACGGTCACCACTTCGAGCATCTCCTGTAATGTAAGAAAGTTTATTTTACTACCACATTTGACCTTGCATGACTCTCTCGCTTACACATCGCAGAGGGAGGGGAGAAAGCGACTAGAAGGCGATGAGGAGAAGAAATGCTGCACGCATGTATTGCCTCCACACAGCCGTAGGAGAATCCCCCACCAACAACCCCATTAGAAAGAGAAGTCTGTGACTTCATGTATTATCCTTTCACTTTACTGTCAACCTCATCCCTACATCGCGCAGTCTGTTATATATGTCTATGACTGTTCTAAGTGTAAAATATGTAATGTCAGATCCGAATCTCATGGAAGGGTCCGCTTGAATCAGCTTGGGTCGGCTGCAGTGATGCCAGAATCGTGGTACGCTTTACGCGCTTTACCCCCACCACTCTCCCACTCTGACGTACCATCAACTCCCACCATGACCTACCGGCGTCTCCCACTTTACGTCCACCGTGCTGGTACACACAAGCATATTCAGCCCTGTCCGTGTGCACTGCCCGTTTGAGAGACGGTGAACTATAGTGGCAAAAGAATGGGGGGTCCACCTTCAACGTCTATTTAGTGATGGGTAACCGAGTCGAGCTGCTCGAGCTCGCTCGAGCCAAATGGTACTTCGAGCTCGATCAAGCACTCAAGCGAGCTTGGGTGACAGTTTATGACCCCACCGGAGACACGAGCTCTGACACGCCAAGCCGCGGCGTGTAGAGATGTTATCTGATCCTCCTATTGTCCCCTGTAAGCCGCCGGCAACCGACCCTCGGGTTACAATGTAACACACAGAACTAAATACCCATGAATAAAAATTTAAATCTTTATTCCTTTCAGTGTACTTTCTTAAAAATGTTATGGATTTAGGAATTTAGGAGATTCTCCTGATGAAAATAAGTCCAAACCCGACATAAATCGGGCTATATTTAATAACCTACAATTTGTAGCGTGACATAACGTATGAATAAAAATTGTTTTCGCTGCATTTCTCTAAAAAAATATATATTACAAATACTGGGGCACCTATTACAGAATTTTCCCTAATTTCTCGTTTGAAAATTGCAGTTGAAAAAAATTAATAACTTTGAAAAATGCTAACAAATGCAAATTTCTTAATGAAATTTTAATGGCTAGATTTATATTTTTACAGTAACAACATATATATTTATAAGTAGGTATTGTCTTTGCAATTTTTCAGATTTTTTTGTGAGGTGCGTCGTGTTTAGAATAATGAAAAATCGATTTGTTTGAAGTTTCTTCCGTAAAAAAGTAACTTATACTTTGAATGTTTGTATTTTCTTTATTAAGTGAGTACATAATCTGATATAAAATATTTTTACATTGAACAAAACAGTATATAAATTAAAAGAGTTAAATTAATAGAAGCGATTAAAACAATACTGTATCCACTATATTCTAATGTATTTACTCCTCTATCGACAGCACTTGGTATAGCGCTATTTTGATATTTAACTCTATTATATTTTTCTTTATTATGGTCTGTTTTTCGAAAGATGATGCCTGGGAGGTTGGCCTGCCTCGGCGCGTGGCCTGGCGGAGATGCAACGCGAGCTGCGTATTTCGTGCGACGTTGCACGGTCTCAATGCCACTGTGTGTCTCTTTCCATCCTCCGGCACTTCGGCACGCGAGCCTGTCGCTCAGACGCTCGGTAAACCAACTTCCTTCTTTACCCTGCGATTTCCACGTGTAGCGTTTAATAATATACGTGTTAATTTAATCTCCTTTTAGTATGTTGCTCAATATTTGGGTACAATACATTCTTTTAAAAGAAATAAACTTTTTCTTATTTATGTATTTTAACTTTTGACGTGTGAAAACGTTTTGCGTCTCGTCAATATTCTCCGCCATTTCCAGACAATGGATGATTGACGGCCACGTGCCGAACGCAGTCCCCACTCCTTGAGATCATAGGTAGGTCCTTCTCGAGAGGTTTGTAATACGTGTGATAGAGACAGACGACCGTAGGCGAGGACTCACGTCGACGGTCGCACGTCATTGGCCAAGACGCGAAGAGTGAGAGAGACACAAGTACCGTAGGTGTCTCGCGATCACGGCAACAGCGCGAAAACTCGGGTCTACCTCCCTGGCATCATCTTTCGAAAAACAGACCATAGTCTTTATTCTATATTAGTTTGGTGTCACATATTTAATTTCTTAAATGAATGGTATTGCAAAAAAGATGTAAGGTTGTTATGACCACGCCAAGGTTGCGAGAGTCAACCAACGGTACAAGTTTATGACGATATTGTTCTTTGCCTCGGTGGCAGTGATGCCAGAATCGTGGAACTTGGTTCCCCCACCATGACCTATCGGCTTCTCTCACTTTACTTCCACTGTTCGGACACAAGCATACCTCTAGCCCTGTCCGTGTGCGCCGCAGGTTCGGGCTTTCCGCCGACTACCTGCGTCACTCGGCAACGTAAACAATATGGAAACCTTGGAGACCCTATTCGAATCTCACTCGGCTGAAAATTCACGTTTCCGACGCGACGCCCGGCAACCTAAAGTTTAGGTTTAAACCAGGCATCGGAATTAACTGATTTTTTCGGCCGCTTTTCGGAGGCAACGCCCCCTTTCTCCTGCCGCGCGCCTCGGCGCCCGTGACGGCCAAGAAGCTCGATCCACCTCAGGCGCGTGCCAGATCAACCACACGTGGCGCATTAAGGCGACACTCGATATATTAATTCGCAGGCGGGCATGCCCGTCAGAGTAGCACGAGCGGACGCGTTGTGTACTCGGTTACGAAGTATAAATATTTTGATATTATTTGAACAATTTAAAATAAACGGTTATGTTAGATCATTAGATGAATAAATTCTTTTTAGTCTTTATGTAATACTAAACTTCGACTCCAATGTCGTACGTTCGAAATTTGCTTCCATTTATGTTTTATTACAACTTCCAAATGAATTAGTCAAAATCTTCCTAATCTTCTCTTGCTATGTACCGTTTATTATATTGACACGTTTATTAATTGAGAGGGAGAGAGGGAGAGAGGGCGAGAGGGAGAGAGGGACACAGAGAGGCAGAGAGAGAGAAAGAGAGAGAGAGAGGGGGGGAGGGAGAGAGAGAGAGAGAGAGAG